ACAACAATAACAATTTACAGCATGGAATTTTCAGCGTTTCTTTTACATATTGCAATGGTTTAGCTCTGTTTATAATTATATAAATGTATAAAATGTTAAAATATTGATAGTTAATAGGAAAAAATAAAACCCCAACAAAATCACACCATTGCTAGGTCATAGTGAATAATAAATAAATAATATAACAAATAACACATGCATTAATATGCATCATTACATTTTATAGTTTAGTTAATGATTCAAAAGTTGTAAAAGTTCTTTTCTGATATTTGTCTCTTCACACAATACTCGTGCCAAATATGGAACGGTCGAATTTTTATATTTTGTAGTACGAGCATAAATGTTTATAAAATTTCTTCTGGTCTTACCCGAAGAGATACAAGGAAACAATTGTGAATAAAGAGGATGTTCACTATCAGATAAGATAACTTTAGCTAAGTGTTTACAAGAATTCATATGCCTATTGACAACAGTGTCATTTAGTTGAGTCAAAGGGATAGCACTGACCCTACTTACAGCCCTCAATGTTCTTCGTAGTATTATATGGTCTTTCTTGAGTAGCCCAGGGAAGAATAATGGAGAACAATAAAGAATGATGGGCAAAACACATGAATTAATAAATTGTATGATAAGAGATTGGTTATACCTGAGTGTCTCAACTTCTTTATGTAATAAGTCAGACGGAAAACTTTCTTAGAAACTATAAGAATATGAGACGACCAGCAAAGGTTTGAAGAGAAACTAATGCCAAGATAAGAAACACTTGACTTACTCTCTATCATGGTACCATCAATATTACAACAATCATGAGATTGAATCAATCCATGCATGTCTTTTTCACTTCTCAAGCTGAAATCAACAGTGTTACATTTAGTTGGATTTAGTTTAAGACCATTTGAGCCAGACCAATCCTTAACTTCAGCTAAGAAGCCATTCATATGGGAACAATCCGATGTGGAAACTACAGGGACAGAAACGGTCAGATCATCAGCATACTTAATGAAGTTAACTTTGGGTGAGTTCGGAAGGTCATGCAAAAAGAAAGAGAAAAGAAATGGAGAAAGTACTGCACCTTGAGGCACACCACTTTCAGTTAGCTGAGAAGTGGAGCGCTTTCCAGCCAAAACAGTATGCTGTTTCCTATCCTTAAAATAAGAAGACAGCCATCTAGTTGCCCAGGACTCTGTTTGTGCTGAAATCATCTTTCCTAATAAAAGTGTCCTAGGAACAGAGTCGAAAGCTGCAGTATAGTCTAAAAAAGCTGTTCGAACGAACTTAGCGCCCTTATCAAGGCAGGAAACAATATTGTGGTGTAGTACAATGGCTGCATCTAATGTACTTCTTCCACACTTATAAGCAAACTGCTTAGGGTCACTAAAAGCTTTTAAAGAAGGTTTAAGAATATTCAAAAGAAGTTTCTCCATAGTTTTCAAAAAAGGAGATGTTATAGCGACCGGTCTAAACTTTATACCTGCTCCAGAAGATGATTTCTGTACAGGTACAACCTTGATTTCTTTCCAGTCAGCAGGTACCGTTTCCCTGTTAAATGATGCGTTAAAGATTTGAGTAAGAGGATGACACAAGATGTCTGCACACTTTTGAAGAAGAATGCTTGGTACACCATCTGGACCAAGGCTGTGTGTTGGATTTAATGACTTCAAACATAATAGTACATCCTTTTCTTTAAAACCCGGAAAATGACCATTTTCTTGACTAGGTACATCAGGTACAACCATATTAATTTGTTTCTTGATAAATGATTTGTTTAAAGCATTAACATCAGAATAAGCATCAACAGACATTTGTTTTTTACTTGTAAGTTTATTGAAAAGTTTCCAAATGTTTGAAGGATTTTTACATGATAAAAATTTTTCATTATATAGTCTGTTCAACCTTTCTATTTCAATTTTTATAAGGGTGTTTATTTTACGGACACCAGTATTATCACAATTCTTATACAACTTCTCTTTTTGTCTTCTAAGTTTTTTCAGTTGCAAAGAAGAGATTCTGTCAAATCTCGAAAACAGTGTTTCATATGGACAGCAAATTTCCAAACAAAACTTCAGATAATCGGTTATATTAGAGACAGTAGCATCCAACTTATCGTCAGTAAATAGTTCCCAGTTGGTATCATGCAACATGCTTCTTAATGCTAGAATGTTGTCATGGGAATATGAACGTTCATGTATCTTCTTTGTTAAATGACTAAACAATTTTCGTTGTAACTTGCCGTACACTTTCGGTAAAATACGAATAATGCAGTGGTCAGAATTTAGCAAAGGAGCTCTCCTTCGGGTTTCATATACATCACGGTCATTTATGAAAACCAGGTCTAGTGATTTGTCCAGACGTGTATTAAACTTGACTAGATTCTCATGACCAAGTGAAGTAAGAAAGCTGTGATCACATGAATTAAAATCACCACAGACTATAGACAACGAGTTTCCGAATGCAGGAGCAGCGAATTCAGTAAACTCATCTGCAAACATAACTATATTAGAAAGGCTACAATTGGGTGTTATGTAAATATTTGTTATGTATATATAAGAATATTTACTTAAGTGTTTTGGGCGACACCTGACGGTTATGCAATCTATATTGTCATTATAATAACTGAAGCAAACGTATATATAAACAAACGTATACACAGCTCAATGCTACTTCATCTTGTCGACAAATGACATCAAATTGGCATGAACAAAGCTTCTAGGGCTGTTTACCTAATTTTACGCAACCTTTCACACTCTCTAAGAGCATGAATTTTACATGCTGCAGAAGCTATCAGAATTCATTTGAACAATTCAGACCTCTGTGTTCAAACGAAATGTTTACATTCCGTTGACTTGCCGTGATGGTCTACATGTTATGTATAAGATCTTACGAATGATTTCGCCTATGTGTGTAACTATCATTTGACCTTGTTACTTTATTACGATTACCGTTCTAGTTAATTCAATCAACTTATCTGTATTTTGGTATTCTTACATAACTCATTTATTTAGTCTTCTTAGTCATCATTATTTTACAAATTATTGACTATGTAATAACTCCTTGCTAACCTCTAAATTTCGTAATTATTTTCATCCCTTTCATAACTCGAAACTGGTAATTCTTATTGACTAACATAACTACATGAATAGTATAATTTTGATGAAAAAATTGTATATATATATATATATATATATATATATATATATATATATATATATTAGTATAGAGCTTTTGACGAGGACTAATCCGAAGGGAATATATTTCACCGTTCACTTTTCTGTTTCTTTTTCCAACTTAATTTAAATATTTTTAGAAAAAATTGAAACGGAATGCTTGAAATTCCTGTTTTGTTTATATGGAAACTTTCAATTAATCATTTTACTTTAGCTTACCACAGTATTCCGTCTGTAAAATGTGAACAATGATAGCCTCATTTGTTACAGGATAAACATACACTAGTGCATTTCATCAAGCATCACTATTATTATTGTTTCCTTTAGTTCCTAGTGGAGCATAGGGTTCCAGCCAAACTTCTCTATTGAGTTTGCTTCCCCACCAAAGTTTTCACTTGGCTTCACGCCTGCTCACATGCTTTCATCTCCTCTTCGCATGACCTCCTCTATGTCACCTTCACACTGACGACCAACTCACCGCTTCCCGTTCGGGTCCCACTCGAGAGATGGCCTGTCGTGTGATATCACTTGATGGTTTGTTTTCTCAGAGTATGGCCAATCCATCTGCATTTCTTTCTGCATCTTTTTTGCACACTTAGTTCCTGCTGAGTTGGTTCTCTCCTAGAAATCCCTCACTATTGCTGATCTTTTCTGGCTGGCTATCTAATCTGAGTACCAAGTATAGTTGACTTATATATGAAAAGTTAAAATAGTCACCAATGAATGAGTCCTGTGGCTGAAGTGTCTTAAATATTTAGAAATTAAATATTTAGAAGTCTATCATTTAATCAATTATCCAGATTAAGATTGAACAACATGGTTTGAAGTATAACAACAAGACTGCTATTGAACTGCCTAACTGTCTTCTTAACGTAGGGTCTTACTAGAAAAGTGTCTCATTTACGAGAAGCATGCATAAAAGTGGCGAGAAAAAACTGTATCAGAGAACTCTTTTTTTACTGTATTTATTATCTCATGGCTTGATCATAACACTAGCTTTCTCATTTAAGACAAACTATAGCAGCCACCAAATTGATCTTGAGTAACCCTTCCGAAGAAAAGACTGCTAAATCCTTGAATTTGGTGATGAATTAAAAATTCAAAAGTTTTTACTTCTTGGTGGGACGATTGTGTGTTTATTGTAATCCCTGATCTAGACCTTAACCTATACTTAATCTAATCCCCAACCCGAACGCCGAGGAATCCAAAGGAAGAAGGAAACATCTATCCAATAATCCCTAGTTTTCAACGATTCCCTAACTGAAGTTGCCTCTTGATCTAGCTTGGAGGCAATCAGATCCTTGTAGACCAACGCTTGAAAATCAGGTTACAGCTGACAAGTAACTGACCCCTGGATGAAGCCGTCTGAAGTTCTAGTGGTAGACGGTTACCAGCGGGACCCAACAAGTTGAACCTGAGCACAGATACTTACGGATGACAATGGCTTGGATTTTGCGCTATACATCGCCAAATGGCCGAAGTTAGAAATGATAAGTCATTGGATTCCTTCCCAGTGGCTCAATGGCCAATTACTTCATCCCCCGGTGGGGTCATAGGTGCACACCGCTGAAGATTTTCAAATAAGGACAAGTCGACAGTGCAGTACTCTTCGGTTTTCAATCGTTCTCTAAATGAAACTAATTCGTGATGAAACTTGTGATTTTGTATTTCCTGCTTACTGATTGTAACTGGACTGAAATGAACACCCTACGTTTCACTGCTAGACAGCATCAACTGGATTTCTCATCTATGCCTTACTTTTCTTCAAAATAACTTTTTTTTAACATGAGAAACGAATAAATAATGCTTGTTCAACTATTGATATTTTCTTTTAAGGGTCCAGATCCTTTTGATCTATATGAAATAATCGATTCAGATAGTGGTAATGTACTGACAGCTGAACAATTAATTGATCGTCAAATCACTCTCCAGGTATCTGCAAATCATTTACACTCGATAGAAGAATTAATTCTTTATGGTTATAATTATCTGCATTTAGCTAATTCTGGTCCACCAAAGTATAAATCTGCAAGAAATATAGCTGAATGTAAAGAGTACACTGAAATGTTAACACTGTATGATACAGCTGATCAGTATCGATTAGAAATGAGTAATGTTCATAGAACTGTTTTGAACGGAGATTATCATCATTTTCTTCGATTAGTTAATATGAAAAAAGTTATAATGAGTAAGTAATCGTTTCTTTACATTTTTTCCCCGAAGGTTTTGTGCCATTTTAATTCGAAAACTAATAATTTAATTAGTAAATTACTTCTTCATTATTTCTATAGTTTTCGTGGTATTTTGTCATTTTATTAGATAACCTTTGAAAGCTAAGTAGTCGTCAGGGACATGCACTCAGGGAACAAATCCAGAACTGCTGTAAATTCGGGAAAGTATAATAGTTGAATAGCAGCATGTTGTTACTTAGTTCATTGGCTGATATGACTTTATTATTGGCGACATTACGTGCGTGTTTAAATAAGTAGGTCATAGTAACAAGACATTGTGTAAAGACACTGTTCAACACTCATCAACATGGGTGTAGAAAAAAGAGTAAAGATAAGCTAACAATTGAATTCATCAATATACTGTTGTCTTAGGTCATGTGTAACACACGAGTGCTTTGTAAATTATTATTATTGCTCATTATTAATGGAATCTTTATTTATACATCTTATGACGTTTTGACCTTTCACTTGAATAAATGAGTATAATTTGGTGTTTTTAAACAATATCCAACTGATTAGAATTTAATTGTTGTATGATGACTAGCAGTGGAATCCAGGATGCGCATTTCGTCCTGTTTCGGAAACGTCACCTGGCCCAAGTGGTCTAGTGGATGACGCTTTGGCGTTTGAAACTATGGGTACTGGGTTTGAGACTCGGTGGGAAAATCATCACCCACTGGGGAATGCAGGTACATCCAGATGACGAGTCCCAAACAGGACGAAGTGTGCATACTGGATTCCACTGCTAGTCACTATACACCAATTAACTTTTATTTTCATGCTCAGACATCGTCGAAGCATCTGCACAAGAAGTCGACATGTCCACCTGAGGCCGAGCACTTCGGTCCAATCAATCGACGGGAAAGTCTAAAATTCAATTAAATAATATCCAGCTGAATTAATTATCGTCAGAAACAATAACCCTATTAATTATGCACTTAGGTTCTGATATTTATGCAATAGTTATGCAATAAGTACTGACTGATTAGTATACATCATGGATGATATTAATCTTTGAAGTTTCAAAAGCGATAGGGTTGTTTATTTCGTGGCATTCAGTTGCTAGTTCCACACCCAACCTCCTCTCTTTCCTGGTCTTAAGAACTAATCTTGCTCTGAGGTACAAATGCCCAACTGCTAATTTGCTGACCATTTCCCTACAATCACCACACGTACAAATGCATGACAGCTTACATAACTACAGACAATATGTCTATATAAAGTGGTAAAAGAAGGCGATAGGGTGAGTCGTGTTCAGGTGAAACAATAAAATTTTCTGAACAGGACAGAAGATCACGTAATAAGATTTGTATACTTAGTTAGTACCAAGGCAGTGAGAGACTTACCACTGTCTGTTTCCGCGTAGACACATCTGTTTGAGGCAATCGCCGTCAAATGATTAAAACGAAATCTATGTACACAGAAAGAGACAGGGATACGCCTTGCACTGTCTTAGTGCATCCTCTGTACTGTTTGAAAATAATTTAACTTTTCATCTGAGCACAACCCACCCTATCCTCCTCTTTTACTACTTTACATAGACATATTGTCTGTAGTTACGTAACCTGTCATGTAATAGTTGTACTCTTTCTGCTTAGACTTTATTTTTGCGCAAAAACTTTGAACTGTGTACCCTCCGTTTCCAAGAATATTCGTCTTACCATCATATAAATAGTCAATCCATCCTTATAAACCCTTAATAATTTAACGAGTTACATCACTTCGGATTTATATTACTTTTATTTCCTACCAATTACTCCTTGTCATCGCGAAAAGAGTGTGTTCAAATCTTTCAAGTAATTAATATTTTTGTATTGTTCACAGGTTGTAGCTAGTTGCGTAGAATGCTTGAAATAATAAAAGATGAGCGCTGATATTATTATCCTTTTACATTTGTCATTCTCGCTTTGTTCAAGTTTATCAATGGGAAGAATCGTATGAAAATTTATTAGATGTTTGACGACTTTACTACTGAAGAATTATGTGTCTTTAAATGGCACATTCCTTGTAACGTTTCCAAAAATACAGTCACATATCCTTCTTTCTATTTATTATCGTCAACCCACAAGTAAAACTTTGAAAAGATGGGTTTATTTTCAAGTAACACAAGATGGTTCATTGTTAAGACTGGCTTCTTTATAAAGAAAAATCGTTTAAAATGCCTAAATCAGAAGACATTTGTAAAACTACTGTTTCATTAAATTTGAATCAGATTTATAATACGACCATATAATCAGAAAATTAATCCACCCGCAGAACAGTCCTTTCTGTACTTCAGCCAGTGACCTCGGTGGTACATCTCAGATATATCCTACCGATCGATATAGGTAATTGCAAAGCCCTCACGCCAATCGGTAGAGATCACCAGTAATACTGTGATGGAAGCTGTCTGAAAGCTAAAATTATAGACAACAGTTTAGGTCACTGTTTACGTCCAGAATCGAGGTCATGAGAAAAAACAATTACAAAGCATAACTTTGAGGAACTCACCGACCAATCACCACAAACTTAACGTCTGAAAATACGATTCGCAGTTATATGGCCTAACTTTTTAAGAAACGGTCGCAAGCAGTACAGAATAGCCTTCAGCAAGAAAACAACCAATCAGAAGAGGTTACTTCTCTGTTAACAATAACGCTAATAATAATGTGCATAAAAATCTATAAATATCTCTTGATTTTCTCAATAAAGGATCTGTTATCTGGCCCTTGTCTTTTGTCTTACAATACTAAAGTGATGGCTGATTTCTTCATTTGTGCTCCAGCATATCAATGGTGAAACCAGATTATTGATTAAATTTAAAGAATGTGATTAGTTCAAACCTATTGAATTCAGTCTGGTGACTTTTGCGAACTCGTAACATGTAAAATGCAATTAGTTATTAAGAAAGCATTCGGTTCAGGGTAATATTTCACCACGTTTCCACTAAGAATCCAAATCATACCATATGACCTAATTGACATCACACACAAGAACAAGAAAACAATCAATAAATGTTTTATGAAATGAGTAATTGTAAACCCCTTAAACCAAACACTTGAACTACTACTTGGAGAAATTATACTAAGATACTGGAATACTGGCAAGAGTTGTTTTCAATTACGATTAATATATGTGTAAAACTTGGGCACTGTGGTAGTAAGTAATTCCATATCAGTTTGTTAATTAAATGTATCACACAGTGAAACAGTATTGTATACTGGATGACGTTTCGAACACAATTTATTGTTCATAATCATATCAATTTTTGTCACACGACTTCGAGATTTGATTTTTATAGTTTTCTCTGTCTTCTCCTATTTGTCGTATGGGCAGTAGAATTTTCCAGATATCTGGGTGGACAGGTGTTGAATCATTCCTATTACATGTATTTGCAGTTGATTCGATAAACAAAGCTTCTGTTATCAATCTCTCCCTATACCCTGTGACATTAGATTTTAAAACTGTCATCCTATCCCATCCTATTGTATGGTTGTGTGTCAGTGCATGTAGTGCTATAGCTGAACTACTCTCTAGATTTCTTATCTTATTCGGGTCAACCAGTCTAGATTTAGCTAGGTTTTTATGTTCGGCTAGTCTGACTGCCCCTGTTCTACTAGTTTGACCTATGTATTTGACCTCACAATCATTCCAGCAGGGTATTACATAAACTAAATTGTTTTGTTTTAATGGCTCTACAGGATCCTTTAACCGACAAAGCTTGTTTCTAATTGAGTTTGTGGGTTTGAATGCCACTTTTATTCCTGCCAGTATTGTTAAGAATTCTGCGTAAGGCTTCCGAGGTTCCTTCTTTGTATGGAATTACTGTTGATGATTTACATTCCTTATTCTTGGTGTCGTTATTAACATTATTATTATCACTATTATTATTATTACCATTATTATTATTATCACTATCGCTATTATCATAATTTATTTTATTTTTACATTTACTTACATATTTCTTGAAGCCTTGAAACATAATAATTACCCGGATAAATTAGTCAAGAAATATGTAAGTAAATGTAAAAATAAAATAAATTATGATAATAGCGATAGTGATAATAATAATAATGGTAATAATAATAATAGTGATAATAATAATGTTAATAACGACACCAAGAATAAGGAATGTAAATCATCAACAGTAATTCCATACAAAGAAGGAACCTCGGAAGCCTTACGCAGAATTCTTAACAAGGCAGGAATTAAAGTGCCATTCAAACCCACAAACTCAGTTAGAAACAAGCTTTGTCGGTTAAAGGATCCCGCCAGTGGAGCCTTTAAAACAAAACTATTTAGTTTATCTAATACCCTGCAATGATTGTGAGGTCAAACATAGGTCAATACATAGGTCAAACTAGTAGACCTGGGGCAGTCAGACTAGCCGAACATGAAAACCTAGCTAAATCTAGATTGGTTGACCCGAATAAGATAAGAAATCTAGAGAGTAGTTCAGCTATAGCACTACATGCACTGACACACAACCATACAATAGGATGGGATAGGATGACAGTTTTAAAATCTAATGTCACAGGCTATAGGGAGAGATTGATAACAGAAGCTTTGTTTATCGAATCAACTGCAAATACATGTAATAGGAATGATTCAACACCTGTCCACCCAGATATCTGGAAAATTCTACTGCCCATACGACAAATAGGAGAAGACAGAGAAAACTATAAAAATCAAATCTCGAAGTCGTGTGACAAAAATTGATATGATTATGAACAATAAATTGTGTTCAAAACGTCATCCAGTATACAATACTGTTTCACTGTGTGATACATTTAATTAACAAACTGATATGGAATTCAATTACAATTCCCTTCCAATCACTTAAATTAGGTGAGTTATGGAGAAGTTAAATTCAAAGGAAGCAGCTGAAAGCCCTGTATCTGATTTTTATAGCCCATCGATTACATAACAACGGTGATGCAGCAATCATTTGCTTGTATGCTGTCGAACTCCGTTTATTCAGAAAATATAACTAGGACTGAATTAAGATTTGAAGATTCTTTGGTAAGTAACAAACAAGGCATAACAACACTTCGGAATAGAGCGTCTGAAGATATTTACTAATAAACTTCTAACTGAGTGAAAACTCCATTAGGATATTGATACTAATCACCAGTTTACTTTAAAAAAAACTTCGTTCTTTCCGAATGCAACGCAGAATACTTCTGAATACTGCTAAATGGAACAAGGTAATTAGTAGGACATTCGTAGACCTAAGCTTTATGCTTATTATCACTTGTTAGCAAAGCGTTACTGTAGGAGTTAATGTCCAGTTGTAAATTCAGACCTACATCGTCCAATGCTAATAACAGACGTGGAATATCATCAGAAGAAATCAGTGATAGGAAAATCTCAGCTCAAAGTATTCGACAATGCTGTACATGGAAGTCTGAATCCTTAATAGATATTTGTCTTCCTTAGGCTTAACGAGGTAACTTAAGTTGACACCTAGAGATTTCAGAAGGTATGAAACCATATTGGCCACAGAAGGGTAGATGATTTACGCTTTATTATCACATATCCTTGTTGCCCTTACTTCATTTTTCCTAACTGTGTAACTTTCAACAACTATTAGGATTATTACGTTTTATTTCATATCCCCTTCAGTTAATTTCCAGTTAGTATGTTGATATAAAGTGTGACAACTGAAGGTGACATAGGTTTGAGTGAAATTGTGAGATCATGTCTATCCATCACATATTTTACCTTATCATTTCTTTCATTTTAGGTCGTGATTGGCGAGAACGTTCACTACTACATCTAGCAGTACTCTATCGTAGAACAGATTTTGTTCTTCAATTAATTGAATTATATCCAGACCTTGTGAATTATCAAGATTGTCTTGGACGTACTCCACTGCATTATGCAATTTGTTTGAATGATAATCGCCGGTTATTTTTAAAAATTGTTGCTAAATCTGGATTAGTTAATAAACAGACTAAAGATTTAGTAAGTTTTTCCAATGCTTATTATTATTAGCATTATTGTAAAAGCACTTTTATTCGATTACAAACATTGATGTAAATGAAATGTTAGTGAGTTAGTGGAATCCATGATGTGCGCTTCGTCCTACGTGGGATTCTTCAGTTAGCTATAGCTGTACTCCTAATGAGCGGTGGTGTTCCCACTCAGACTCAAATCCAAAATTTTAAACACCAATGTGTCATCCAACCAATTAAGATCATTTTCACCTCAAAGCATCATTGAAGAGTCCACACGAGGAGCTGACATATCAACAGGAACTGAGTATTTCTGTCCAGTGTAATCAGTCAATGGGGAATTCAAAATAATTTGAAGGAGTACGAGCGAAATTTCATCAAAAACCTCTCGGTTATACACTATAGTATCTTATGAAGTATACCAAAGTAAACTATTAATATAGAACAATAACAAACACTCGGGTCAAAGGTAATAGGAGAAAGACTGTCATCCGTTGAGGAGACAGCACTATATAATTCACACCGAAATATTAAACAATGGAAGCTAAAGTGTAATGTGTGGAAAAAATTCGCCAATTTTATGCGGAAGCCTCGATCTACTGAATACATAAGGCGATCCCGTTGACCATTCTTTCAGCGGGTTGAAATTCAATGACCTATCAATTCAAACTTCTGTCAAGTAGTGACGAAATCTACCTTGAAATCAGACAAAATCTCTACAAAAAACAGAATTTGAATATTGATCTCCTGATCATTCTTGGATACAGAACGGATGTCCTGCAGTTCTAATGCGAAGTCATGGCCTCTGGGATCCATTATGTTTGTCATGGAGCAGATGCTTATTGGTGGCATTAGATGGCAGCAAACCCATATGCTGCCAGTCGACAAACTTTAGAATACATGGGTCATCAGCATCCAACTCAGTGACTAAAGGATCAACGAGTTCGCCTCGTAAACTGCCCGTCCCGGGTTCGATCTCTGGTGGAATAGGGAGGACGGGTGCCGAATAGTCCCAAACTAGGACGAAACAACTGCCTGATTCTCCTTACTTTTAAACAACTCTGACTGATGTCAGTTTAAGACAAAATCTATTTAGAAACCTCTGTTAATCCCTAGAAAGGAACAAAAGAAGAGGTAATGTATATCTTCAGTATTATTGTAAGATTCCTGGGCAACACCAACAGACAACAATCAGCATAAACGGGAGGAACCTGAAGGAAACAACCTCCTTTACTTACCTGGGAAGCATCGTTTCAACTACAGGTGTGAGAACTGACGAGGATATCAAAGCCAGAATTGGAAAAGCAAGACGAGCTTTCATTACTCTCAAGTCTGTGTGGAGGTCAACAGCACTCAGCATGAGAATGAAAATAAGATCCGGATTTTCAACTCCAATGTGAAGTCAGTGCTACTATACGGATCAAAGACCTGGCACATCATAAAGAGCATCTTAAACAAACTACAGATCTTTATTAACAGTTGTCTTCGCTCAGTACTACTCAAGATCAGATGGCCGGTCAGAAAAGATCATCAACAGGGATCTCTGTGAGCGAACCAACCAGGAACCGACTGTGCAACAAATAGGCAGGAAGAAAAGGAGATGGATTAGCTATAGGCTGAGGAAACCGTCAAGTGACATTACCAGACAAGCCCTCGACTGGAACCCGAACGGGAAGCGGCGAGTTGGTCGTCCAAGGATGACTTGGAGGAGATCATGTGATAAAGAGATGAAAGCATGTGGGCAGACGTGGAGCCAGGTGAAAAATCTAGCAGAGAACAGAATGCAGTGGAGACGCGCGGCTGAAGCCCTATTTTCCTCTAGGAATTAGAGGAAATAATAATTATTATTGTTCTTATGAATAGTTTGATTCTAATGCCGGCTAGTATGAATAAAGTGGTTGTACACATTTATCACACTTATACTCACAAACTCTCCTTTAGATTGGGAGCGTAATCGTACACGCTTCGACGGATTACAAGGAATTCTGTGTGTTATAGTGCTCATTGCATAATAAATAAGGTAAAATCCCATTAATTAATTCTTATCAAAAAATCTAAGGATTCCTCTCAATGTAGAGTTCATCACGAACTGACATGAGTTTGAGAATCATTGCAAATCAGGGGGCACTGATCCCAAACTAAAACAAAATGGCTGTCCAGTGCTTTCTGGATTTCAACTATTCCCTAAATGATACTACTTCATGACAAAATCCACACTGATACTATTCACAATCCCTACAAAGTTCATAACCTTAATTATTTCTACTTCAAATTGTTATTATTATTTCAGCGAAATATCTCAATTAATCAGTATGGTGAATTTTATGAGAAAAATATTCCTGAATATCGAAATTTAATCAATTCAGAAAAATCATGTATTTTACTTGAACCAAATTGGCCAGATCATAGAATCATTTCATTGACAATTGAAACAAATAATGAGTCAGTCATCGAGAAAGAAGAAGATTCTAGTAGTCAGAACAATGCAAAGTTAGCAAATGAACAAACAGAAGAAATTGACAATTCTTTATTATTTCCAATCCCTAGTGCATTTAATGCCTGTGAGTTGAAACGGATTAACTCAGCATTTAACTGGAAACAACGGACATAAGTCAGGATCTATAAATGATACAACGTTTACATCGTCATAATCAGGACTGTCAAGAAAAACAAACTTTGGACATTTTCTCTTTTCGACTATCCACTTTCAAGAAGTTTCTCGTCTTCGTTTAGTATTTCAACGACGGGAATTTTCGTTTGGATTTCCATTCTGTAATCATTTTATAATTATCCATCTTCAAATGTAATGAATTATGAAAAAAAAACTTTTGTCTATTCCACTGATACAGTCGAACGTCAGTCAGCAGACCATAAGATCGAGGCAGGAACCACCTATTGGAATTTAAGGTGGCTGATAATACCACAACCCTTAAATATTACTGCAGCAACAACTCGATCTTAGTATTGTCCAAGATTTGTCGTGGACGTATCATCACAAGACTGGATGACATCTTCCGCATTGACTTTGTAAAAAAAACATGACGTATATGTCCACAAGTTACATAAGTAATAGAATATCTTTCTTCGTTAAGATTTTCAATAACACTTTGCTTTCTAATAAAGTTGGTGGTGAAGAAGTCATCAGGTCTGGTGACGTCCAAGACAGTTAAAGGATTACTATAAGCATTGTGAGTTATAAATCCTCACTAGTTTACCACTTCAGTTAGTATCTGTTTTCAAATTCTGTCGTTATGAATACCGAGGATAAATACTTCACTGTCGTTACGATATGTAGAGTTAGTACTTGTGTAACAACTGAAGACAAGGGCCAGATAACAGATCCTCTATTGAGAAAATCAACAGATATTTATAGATTTTTATGTACATTATTATTAGCGTTATTGTTAGCAGAGAAGCAACCTCTTCTGATTGGTTGTTTTCTTGCTGAAGGTTATTCTGTACCGCTTGTGACCGCTTCTTAGAAAGTTAATTCATATATCTGCGAATCGCATTTGCAGACGTTGAGTCGGTTGTGATTGGTTGGTGAGTTCCTCAAAGTTAAGCTTTGTAATTGTTTTTTCTCATGACCCCGATTTGGGAAGTAAACGCTGACGTAAATTGTTGTCTACAATTTTAGCTAGCAGGCAGCTCTCACCACACTTGTAGTATCTACTTCACTGAGTTCGAAAGACAATGTGTGGTTTTTCCCTATTGATTAAAGATGCCCGTTACAATTTTCGAAAGACTGATTACTCAACAAAGAATATTCACTTGAATATCAATGAGATGCTCACTAGCGACTGGCCCTATTCAGGTAGGTAGTTACGCGGTGTTCTAGTGCCCAGTAGGGTGCAGCAGGTCCGGTGTGAGGAGAAATACTCACCGAAGACATTGACTGGGGTCGCGCTATGTCGTGAATTCGTGGGCCATTGAATAAGGTCCCAGTGGCTTAATGGTATACGAGCTCGCCTTGTAACCAGAAGGTCCTGGGTTCGAATCCCAGTGGGTGCGTACTTTGATTTGATTTTTTGATTTTTGATTTACAGCTTGATTCCACACTGTATTTTTGGCACAAGTATGAAATTTTCAGCATGGATATCGGTAGCCCGAATTTTGCAGGCCGACCATAGATATCAGGTGTGCGCCGGCGTGGGCTCGAACCCCGGACCATGTGCATGGTCAGCGAGAGTCCTAACCACTGTGCCACCGACGCACAGAGTCCCAAACTAGGACGAAACAGCTGTCCAGTACTCCCTGACAGGTTTTCCAATGGTTCTCTAAACAATATCAGTTCATGATGAAAATCCTGTAACCAATCAAATCCCTACAAACCAACACTTGAAAGAATATTCTTTTCGATAACTTCTTCATCAGGTTCTACAGCTACATGTCTATAATAATAAAATAATGATTGATATTTACAACATTAGTGATTTTTTTAAAAGTAACATCGAATCATTGATTTTAGAATTCCAAAAGTTTATTGATAATAGATTGGTAATAGGCTATAGTCCCAAACATGTGTAAGTGGTGACACGTATAATTGTAACACTAAATTGAACAGCAATATTCCAGGTTAAATGATTATGACTAACAATGAATATACAGCAATAAATTCTCATGAGTCATGTTCACATCAAATTCTATTCACATTGCTTATAAACATCATATGGACGAATGACAATCTCCAGGACGGGGAGAGAAAGTATTATAGAAGGTATTATGCCTTATGTCTGTAACAGTAAGTTAATGACTACGTGTAAATAGGAAGAAAAAAGTTAAGTTTATGCAAGTGTATGCAAGTGATAAGGGAATTTACACAACCAGGATGGAAGGCAATACCTAAAAGACCAACGTAATACAGTATTAATGGATTTGTGGATTCCACAATACGTCAGGGAAGCAATAGTGGTGAGACCTGTTTCTATAGCACACAGAGCACCAGTTTTTTAAGTGAATTGAAACAGCCCCTACTGTTTGGAGTGTTAGGTACCTGGATGCTAGCGAACAAAGACCAGTACGGAAGCCTATAAGATGACATTCGTATTACAAGACGCCGGTGTTCCCAGATGACGACACTCAATGGATGGTGGTGATCTCCACTTTGTCCGGATACACACTGCTGGACCTCAAAATTACTCAAATGACGATGCCATCTACGCAAACAGTCCTGAGGAGACAACGATAAACAAATACACGTAGTTGCCATACATCCTTAGCTCACAAAAGCCAGGTTTCACAGATGTAGAGTAAGACTATGCACAACTAAGCATTGTAAACCCGACATGTGACAGCCAGGTTTACGTCGCGACAGCTCCAGAGGTGGCTCGAAATGGCGTTTTCCACCCTAGCTGTCATGATACGGTTGGAAATCTCATTCAGCACATCTCCGCCAGCATTCACACAACTGCCCACATACATGAAATTATTGACAACTTCACGTGATTCATCTGCAAGGATGGGCGCGGGTGAAGGCTCCTGCCAATCTTGTAACAGTACTTTGCACTTAGACGGCGCAGAACACATACCATACTTACAGACACTGATCGCCGACTGATTAAGTGAGATTTGAATAGCCTGCATGCCATCAACCTGAATACTCGAGGTTGAAAATTCTTTCTCCAAGAAACAGATCTACGCCGCCACGACGCACGTCCTTCAGAAATGACTTCAGAATGCCATCGATGGCGAAGTTACAGAGAAATCGGGCAACCCTGTCTAACCCCACTGCTGGTTGGGAACAGTGACAACAGCTGGTTGTATGCCTTCACTCTACCTGATGTGTTTCTTTATGGGGATTTCAGGATGTTAACACACTTCCCTAACAGACGGTTCAAGGAACACAACGACTTTTGGCTTGAAATACGTGCGATGGTGTTCCAACAACTGACAAAAACTGAACACATGATTAATGCACCCACAGCCTGAACGAAACCCAACCTGCTCTTCGTAAATCAACTCCTCACGTGTTTTCAACAGCCTAAGAAGCAGGACAGCAGCTAATACTTTAGATGTAACCGGTAGCAAACTAATACCCTTATGGTTGTTGCATGTGTTATGTCGACCCTTTTTAAAGATTGGGACGATGATGGCTTCACTCCAAACTGATGACACACCCTCAGTTTCCCATACTTTTCTGAACAGACCGGTCAAAGCCATGAAGAGAGTCTCTCCACCATCTTTAAAAAGAGCCGGGGGTGGATTGTCTGGCCCGAGTGACCCATGGAGCTTTAACCCTTAGAGTTCCTTCCGGACCTCCGCTTCCATTGGTGGGGCGGTATTGACCAACTAAGGAACCAGGGAGCACTGTAGCTGATGACAGTGGATGCTGGCACTAGTGGCCAGCTAAACTGTTTCTTAAAGTGCTCTTCTCAGCGTTCCAGGTGTCATTTCAGGCTGGTAACTGGAGTACCATTTGCCTCGCAGACTATTTCGCTAACACCCTGTTTCTTGCTGCCGGTGGCTCGGATGAGCTGGAACGGTTTCCGGCTGTTGCCAGATGCAGCTGCTGACTCCATTAATTACTTGAGTTTCATCCTACGACATTTTCAAATACAATAATTATGATTTGACTATACGCCCCATCCGATCATTGCCAGTATGACGCCTATCACAGTACACAATTAGACTGCGTCAACGCATCAACAACAGTTCACTATGTTGAATCCAATCATACGTAATATTGTGAAGATTGTGCGTTTAAATAATATAATCAATACTTCTTGAAAAGCACAAAAATAAACACAAACACACTAGACAGAAGAAAAGAAAAAGGGTTAGGCTGGTTGATACAATAAACTTTGAACTTTATCAGTATATGTGGGTGACCTGTAACAAACATTAAACAAGGTCACTGTAATACTTTAATCCAGAAATGCATTATAACATAGGAAAAGAAAATACAAACAAACAAATAAATAAATAAACACAGAGTAAGTTTAAATTTTGAATGGTAAAACATCTTCAAAAATAAAAATAAAAACTGTTAGAAGTTAAAGCAAATAATTGTTAAAATACACAGAGACTACTGACTACACTTGTTAAAAAGTAATAGGAGGAGTAGTAAGCATATCACAGAGTTGTTTGATGAAAAGTTTCTTAATTATTACAAGTATATTTGTCGGATAACAGGAATGCAGACAGTTAATATACAGGGTTCGAACACATCATCATCATAGTCATCTGAGGTGATATCTGGTCATATTGTTTTCTCTGTATATAAGTTAAAAAGACAAAATGCAAAATATAAGTGAGGTTAGGACAGCAAAACGAAAGCCAAATGAGTGTGATGTCCATAAACTGTCAATAGATAACCTGCCTGTTCTACCCAATAAAGTGGAGATTCGGCATATTGGTTTGAACACTCGAATTTCAGCCAGTGAGTCCTGGATTCGAACCCCACTTCACAGACTTCGACCTGAGTAACTGGGCAGTTATCATCATCCCGTACACAGTATGTGTAGCTTATAGCTTAGCATAAGAAAGACCTTATCCTAGATAAATCAGTTCGAACAAAAAGGCTCTGTTTCTTCAAGTGACATAAATGTATACTTCCTTCAGAATTCTTTAGCTAACTTACAATATATAAACGATATAGCCTTGGAGACACCACACAAGATGCAAAGTTCTCAATACTAATTGAAATGACGACCCTATGAAAATTTGAAGTGTGTTTCTCACTTCACACTGACCGTTTTAACCTTTGATGATCTTAATATTGAAAAAATTTCAACTACAAGTCTAACAAGTAAGAGAACCACTGAAGACCAGGGATTACTGAACTACCACTTTGTCCTAGTCATGACCCTGCTGAGGATCGAACCGACGACCTACAAAGTAGGCACCTAGAGCCATGAGTGAGTACAGCCAGACAGTACGGAACTTGGACAAAGCAGCCCTCCAACTGAAATCACTTTGTGATCAAACTTGAAATCAATCAAATCCATGCAAACCAACACTTGATATCAAAGAGATGAGTCGGTTTCTACTCATTTGAGTTTCTTATTTTACTGATGAGATATCCGGAGTGACTGACTAACTGACTGGTTTCAACGTAGAACTTGGCACAGATGTGCAGCTAATCGTGCTGCCATTCTCCCTTCTTGTAGCACACAAAGCAAGAGAAGAGAGTAGAGAGGAATTCAAAAGAGAGAGATAATAAACATAAGTATGGGGCAAAAAGAATAATAAAGTGGAAGAACAATAAAATTTTATTGGGTATTATAAATCGCAAAGAGTGAATGCATTTGCATTATTGAGAACGGTTTCGCTCATATCACCGATTGTCACCATTGGTTCTTAACATCCCGTGGACCCCAACCAAGAAGTTTAAACCTCCCGAAATGGTTGTCTAGCTTAAATTAACTGTTGTGGATTTTATTGACTGATGATGCCATGTTTTGGTTTGACCACCACTACCTGCTTTACAACCCAACCGAATGTCAGCTAACATTGCCTGTCGAAGAAGGCGATGGCTAGCCACGAGCAACACATGTCCCAACCATCTCAAACGATGTAACTTGACAACCTCGTCGATTGATTTCCCCTCCTACCTAGCTAGCACTCTACTGATGCTTAACCTATTATCTCACTTAACACGGGAGATAGAACGCAGACACCTATGATCAGATACAGCCAGCTAGGCTTTTCATGTCTTCCACCTCCAATAGCCATAAAAGAGGACGGAGCGAACTGCTGAGCAGTACACTCGCCCTTTGGTCGATAGCCGAACGGCGTAGACTGACATATCCGAAATGAGTCTTCTGTATCCATGCTGAGATTTCATCAGCAATCAACGTGCTGGGCCGGCTGATGCAACTTCCCAAGTAAATGAAATGAGCGCGTTGACCATTGACGACGTACTGACGAAATCTCAGCACGGATAAAGAATCCTCGTTTGGCGTACGCCAACTTCCGCTATCCGGCTATCGATCAAAGGAGTGCTATCCAGAGTGTTATGAACTAGTGTGCTCTTGCATGTTATACTGCTGAAAATATAACAGTTGAAAAGGGAGGAATTTAAGAAGGTTTTGTGTATTCATCATATGAAGTGAAGGTAATAGAATTAAGTGAGCTTTACGTTTTTGATCAAAACACATAATTACCATCACAAATGAAGAGATGAAATTCTTGTTTCAACATGCCCCATACGACATACGATAAACCTACTTGGTTTATGTAGATAAAGCATAAGACTGAAAGGCAGCATACAGTTGTCAATTAAACAGTTTTGTCTACCATGTATAATTTCGGAGCACTAAGCACAAATAAATAAACTTATTGATTTTTCTTTATATCTGTATATCAGAGAGAAAGATGCTTTTCATGGGTCTTTGTTAAAGCCATATGAAAATTGTATAGCACTCTGACTGCAATAAGCAAATAGTTCACCACTTGTTTGAATCATATCAATAATCAGAATGATCTACAGTAGTTGAGATGCAAATTTTGTTGGTCATTAGGTAACCGGTAAGTGTGATGAGAAGTGTTATTCATTCCAAATGAGGATTAATTACACGCTTAAATGTGTGCAGATGATACAGTCATTTTAGATGAAGACGTCGACCCAATTCAGAGTCTTCTGAACACAGTATACAGAAGTCTGAGTATTTTCGACATCCTCTTCTCCCATGTTAAATGAAAGACAATGCTATACGACCAGTTCACACTGACTTCCAGCTTAAGCATAGGAAGTGGACTTATTAAATACAACAGCCCTAATGGCTTGATCACTGGCGAAATCTCAGTGCAGAAACAAAATGTTCGTTTAGTAATTTCTTGAAGGTGTCATTTTTGGCACCGGCATGGTATCCGGTTACCTATAAGAGGGCATTTAAAATTCCATTGATTGAGGACATGTTATACATGGAGAGCTAATGTCTTCCTCGACAAGCAATGTTAGCTGAAGTACAATTAAGATGAAAAAGAGTTAAGAAAAGTCAGACCAAACATGGTACTCGGTCATAAAGTCAGCCGTTGGCCCTTAGAATGTTAAGAACTAATGGTGGGAAATAGTTTGTGACATGGCTCTAAACATTTTACTACAATGTTCCATATATATACTCTTTGTTATCTCCCTTCCCCCCCCCACGATTCAGGATGACTTAACCAGTATTCACTTCATTATAAAGTTAAAGCTGAACATGTTACTTATAAAGATAATGAAGACTTCACTATCAAACCACTCAGATGCGAGAATATAACACATCTGTGTGCATCTTCGTCTAATGTCGCCTCACCGCATTTCTTTTCCTATTTTTCTATATTTTTTCTCCATTCCTTTGTGCTCCAAGTGGCATATAGGGCTTCAGGCTTTGAAGTTTCAGTAACGGTGGTGTTATATTTACGGAGTAAGGTTGTTAGTCGCACGCCCAGCCTACCTGATATATATCCATATAATATGTGTGTTTGTTTGACAGTCGGTTATATTTTGCTATGTATACATGGATCGATATTCCATTATAATTAGCCAATCATGTTAAGACTGTCTATTGATTTGTTCATTTTGAATATTCGCTCACACACTTGTTCGGACATTCATATTTTGCTCTCACACTCTTGTGTGACACTTTGATTCTCCTTGTGTTTGGAAAATAGAAGTATCATCGCAAACCTAGTGGTCTTCTGATTTCCGTCTTTCTTGCGTCAGGACTATTAAATTCTCGACCAGTACATAATACTACCCTCTTTAGCGGGCTTATTATCAGCCAGTAATCAAACCCGGACCTCTCACCTGGTTGGCAAGCGTTTTGCCAATACACACTATCGATGCACACTACTCTGGATACTTTTTTTTTTAAATATGACGAATAGAACTGACATACTTGTTTACTGAATTCCTATCTTATAAGTCAAGCATCCACTGACGTTACACTGCGTATGAAGCTGTGAGAATCAGGTTGTTTTTTAGCTTTCTTCCGGGCATAAGTCACAACATGACTGTAATTTTTGACTACACTAGATTAACTGTCACATTATGCTGAAAATGGTGATCAAAATACGATTGACAGTTTTGTCTCAATATTGATACTAGCTTGGAAAATACTTCAATCAAATTTCGTTTATTCATGAAGAATGCAACAATAGACGCTTATCCTACGTTTGACCCTTATCATGAACTGGGGATAATTGGGCTAACTATTACAAGATGACGTGCATTGGGTATTTATATATATATATATATATATATATATATATATATATATTATCTTAAGACACCTCAAAGACGGGTGGATATGTCCCACTAACAATGTTATTATGCCCTTGATTTCCGAATAGAACATAGGGGTTTCAAGAGAACATCTCCATTTCACCCTGTATTATGTAGTTCTCTTCATCTGCTTGCACTATTACCCATAAGCTTTCATTCACTCTTCACACGAACTCCTCTGTGTCACCCTCAGATGTCCAATTTGTCGTTTCCCACTCGGGTTCCACTCTGGAGACTGACTCGTTATATCACTCATAACAATTTTCTCAGAGTATGATCCACTGATATATATATTTGAACCCAACACTTTTGACAGTGATATGACTGATTAATATGTCTGGATAAATTCGGACCTAAGTAGACCATACCACTAAATTAAAATGCTTTGTTTCACAGCTTTGCACTGGAAATGGAGCAATTCAAGTGGAAGTAAGTAGCAGGGAAAGAGACGGAACGAAAACCATACAAGAGACTTTCAAATCTGATATCAGGAACCAGTTAATTTTCTCTTACTTTTTAACATCAGACCATATCCTATCTTATAAATTATTTTCGACTGAAAAATACAATATATATTTATGCTTTAATAAGTCAAAAATTATACCAAAAAAAACGACGCATACCTTGATGTTGAGGTGATGCTGCAGGTGTAATACAACTTTCACTGCTAACTGATGAATGTTTTGACGCTTTTCGATCTAAAAGTTTCTAGAATTTAAGAAAAAGCAAATAGAAAAATGCAGGCTCAACAACTTCAAGACAGTAAAAAATTAAAAGAATTTAGCTACCAGCGTACTCACAGTTAGAAACTCTAAGGATAATTCAGGGGACTTACGTGTCAAGAGAATGTCATTACGCATACTTGGCATAGTAAATAAAACTAACGACTAGGATAAAATAAATAAGCACAGGAGTTCTTAATCATTACCACTAGTAAAATGAGACTCAAACAACTATCAAGGAACAAAAGTAGCCATGAGGATTAAATTTCCCCATAAAGTATGAATCCACCAAAGCTGCAAAACTACAAGTTACTGTCAGCTGCTTCCCAGTTTCCTAATGAAATGGGAGTGGCATTAAAGATAATGTCTACAGTAGGCTCTAAAGCTCTAGTCACAAAACTTTTGGCTTGTAGAGAGGATAATAAAACCATCTGGACATCCGAAAGAAGCTGTAAATTACTATTATTGCCACATTATTAGGAAAATGAAAAGAAACGAAAAGTCACTCAGCAACCACTTGCTATTCCAAGCAGTTGGGAATAAGTCACACACTTGTGGTATGTGCCGCTCACAAGATTTATCAGTAGTATATAGATGCAGATTGATAGGAAGCGACCTGAACTCAAATCAACATTTTAAGTAAACGGCTGCAGAGGGTGAAGTGTTAACTCCTCAAATCTGGATATAGTTTACGTTGTGGACATGAAATAATCTTATTAGATAACTTTTCGTCTCATTGTTTAACCTTGGGACAATCGTCAACCAATCACAGCAGTTCATTGTTTACTGGTTAAAAATGTATATGTATTTTTCTGTAATAAGAAGTTCGTTACCAATTCTCTTATCTTTTGCCGTTGAATACCTATTGTGTGAAGGCTATTGATACTACCCGGTTGCTCAGACCTCAGTAGGTGGAGTGGGGTTCGAATCCGTGCCCCTCTGGCTTCAAGTTGAGCGATTAAAGCAATGGACCCTAGCCACATAACTGGGGGCTATTTCAAAATACATTCCATTAAAATTGTGATCGGCTGAAAATGCTTTATCATCGAGAATAGGATATCGATATGAGTAGTCGTTTCACACAACAAATGAAGTAAAACAACAAACTGTCATTGAAATTCATCGCGCGCTAGTAAAAATGATTTCAAGCAATAATGATCCCTCAAACAACTTATGTCCTTCCTACCTTACTTTTATTTTTATACTTAGATTCTTGTATTTTACGCTTGCTAACCTTGACTTCTTAACCTTCGACAGCCTTTCGCCTTTGTCTAGATTCCCAACCTATCTGTGTCGTTTCGAGATGTTAGTGAGTAACCCTCAAAATGGTTGTCCCCAATGTGACGTCTAACACTGATATCTTTCTTCTCTTCCCGATGATAGTTAACGAATACTGTTTGAACTTGTTAAGCATGACTGTTTTCCTTCCAGATGAAGTTCTTTATCCGTTCTCTACTTATATTTTCTTTACTTTTGATCTATGTTGTTTTAGTATTATTGTGTATCGTATCTTTCGTGGTGCCATATTGTACCAAGATTTTTCTGTGTTTAAATAATAATAATAATAATAATAATAGTCGTTTCATTTGTTAACAAAAATTTAGTCAATCTGTTAACTATCTTCAAAAATAGTGAATATGAAAGTTATAGATGTGGAAGTTTCAGATAATGTGGAATTAAAATTAGGCCGTCGTCAGATTCCCCAAAATAAAGTAGTACTTCTAAACACTGGACTCACCAAAGCTGGATAGTCGGGAGCAACTGGTAGGAAGCCCAGCCTGACTCAGCTTTCGTCTCTGTTGGTTATCATCAGTTGTGAGTATCTACGACCTTCGAAAAGGATGAAGCTTAATCAGAGACTCAAAATTGTAGTGACTAGTGTGAAAGGTGGACCCTTCATTTTTAAGCCAGCCAGGATGTGGCAGTCTCCAGTAAGACTAAACTGAAAACAGTAGTACGTCACAAGAAGAAATAGATGTTGGTTATTCTAAATACCGAAGGAATTGTAACGGCCATGTTTACATCTCAAAACGCACAAAATTTAGGCTGCCAAGTTCTTGGTGATCATTTCAAATCATCTGTTAAAAAACACTTATTACTGAAAGAGACTCCATGAACGACCTGGTACGACCTAGTTTTGGTACACTTCAGTCTTCCTCTCGAAATGCTGTAAAACAGTCACGCCTCCGTAGCCTTTGCTAGGTAGGTCTTACTCACTGTCTTCACACGGTTGGGTTGTTCCTCACAAAAGTGGGAGGACGAATGAGAACATTTGGCATTTATAACCAGACTGGTGGACATGCTAGTCTACCCAGGAGAGAGCTGGAAAACCCTGATTCCAGACCTATGGTGTACAATGGGCTCCACAATCCAAACGCATCGAATGGCGTATGGACCTGTTTTGGTAACCTACTGCAACCATGAGAACGCAGTTCCTGGCGCTGCTCCACTTCTTTGTAGATCAGAATTCAAGCCAAAGGCTCTGCAGTAGTTCCTTAAGGCAACCACCTGCTTTGGTCGGGGCGTTCGAGCAGTATCTCCTACTTCTTACACGAAGCATAAGATTTTGTGCGCCACACTTCTTGGTGTCTTAATAATAATACCTTTGGAAATAGAATTCTAAGATATAAATTCACCTGAATAACAAACATCTCATAAAAATCTTATGTAAAAATTCCTTGCTTAAAACATACACAGAAAGTAACAGTAATATTGCTATTCGTAATACCATTATTACAAAGAGGAACACATTAAAAACCTCGGTTGGTATTAGTTTCAATTACTGGTCAAATAAAGCATATCACTAACCTTGTATTTATTGACTGTATTCAAAGCTAAAGACTTCTCTATTTCCAATGATTCAATTCGATCCTTCAGTACTCTAACATAGAAGAGATTAACACATAACGATTATTTATAAGAGAGGTAAAAAGGATTTGAAATAAGTGAGAATTAAAATTGGCTGTCTTAATTTCCTTATAGCGCTTATATGTTATGTTTGATACATATGTAATAACAAATAATCAGAACGAAATGAGTCTGCAGATCTAAGACGAAATACACTGCGGAGATCTTTGACCTGCATTATATGTGAATACATACCACGGACATATTTCCTCGTTTAGAGATGATGCTTATTGTTACTGAAGGAGTTTTACAGAAATGCATCGTTGGAAAGATTGACAAACTGATATATTTCGATGTGGATCCAGTCACAAATCCATATCACTTAGAGAACCATTGGACACCTCGTCTTAGTTGCGAACACGTCAGCGATGTACATTCATGATCCCACCAGGGATTAAATCAAATACATAACGGTGACGAAGCTAACCAAGTGATCATTCAGCTGCTGAATTGTTATTGAATGACCCATGAATCCTAACTTCTGTTAATTCGTGATATATTGCTACTGCCAACCAATGTTATAGATGAGCATTCGCTCCACCCCAACGTGATGGATCCCACTAGCCGTAGCTTCTTAATCGAACTCTGGAAAATCTATCCTGTAGCCATTGCATAAGTTCTAGTGACCACCCACAACTGTTAACCTTCATATAATAGGTGTAGCTTATAATTTTAATTTTTTTTTAAATTTTTTGATTACAGCTTGATTCCACACCGTATTTTTTAGTACAAGTTTGGAATTTTCAGCGTGGATATCGGTAGCCCAAAATTCGCGGGCCGACCTTAGATATCAGGTGTGCGTCGGCGTGGGCTCGAACCCCGGACCATGTGCATGGTCGGCGAGAATCCTAACCACTGTGCCACCGACGCACAAAGTGGCCCTAAAAGGGGCCGGTTTCACGTTCTCTGGCTCTCAAGCCACACACACACCGGTCTTAGGCCTTCACTTTGTCGGTCTTCTTGGGCAGCAGCACAGCCTGGATATTAGACAGGACACCACCCTGGGCGATGGTTACACCACCGAGCAGTTTGTTCAACTCCTCGTCATTGCGGATGGCCAATTGCAAGTGACGAGGGATGATACGGGTCTTCTTGTTGTCGCGCGCGGCATTGCCAGCCAATTCGAGAACTTCAGCGGCCAAGTATTCAAGAACAGCTGCCAAATAGACTGGAGCCCCAGCACCGACGCGTTCAGCGTAGTTCCTCTTGCGCAGAAGACGATGAACACGACCGACTGGGAACTGAAGACCAGCACGAGCAGATCGGGTCTTCGCCTTCGCACGAGACTTTCCACCTTTGCCGCGACCACTCATGATTGTATCGTTAGAGCAGAGAAACGTGTAATAGGCTGAGGCACCAACCTCCATGCAAATTATGAAAACATATTATTGTTTAAAACAGCTCAAATGAACCTCAAGATAAAATCAAGTGCTTATGAAGAGGTATCGGTGTACCTGACATTTGGTAAACACCAAAGATATATTGATCTGTTTTTTCTAAACAATCTATATATCCCCCCCTGAGATATCCCGTTCATTGTGAGGGTCAGTTAATTAATTTATAAATAAATTTCTATATTTACCATCAACAGTCATCTCACATAAAGACAGCTTAGTCAGCTTTTGATAGACAATGTACGCAACCCAATAACAATAATTAGAACTCATTAAATCACTCTGTAACAACAGTGAATAAGTAAGAGAATTATTTTCGTTGCTTGCAGATACCTCGGATCTAACATACACAGGTACTTTTAGTTTCTAGTGACCCTGATCCAGATGAATTGACTGATTAACTGACTGAGTCTCAACACAAAAGTTCGCAAAGAAGTGCAGCAGTTCGAGTTGTCACACTCCATGCAGCGCACAAAGGAAGACAAAATAAATTAATGGGCAGAAATTTGAGGGAGAAAGAATAACAACAGGGAAAAACACAGCGGTTTAGTGGATAAAGGGGTTCACAAAGTCAGTGCATATGTAAAATTGAGAACGACTTCAAGCTACGTCACCAATAGTCTTTAGCATTAGTCCGTAATATCCCAAGGACCTCAAATAGAAAGTCTACACCTCCCGACATGTCTAAAACCCAATATCAAAAAATTCACGGACTAATGCCATGTTTTGATTTGACCACCACTAGCTCTCTTCCAACTTAATCTTATAGCAGATAACACTGCCCGTCGAGGAAGGCGATGACTAGGCATACGTAACACATGTCCTAACCATCTCAGTCAATGTAATTTCACAGCCTCGTCGATTGATTCTCCCTCCTCACCTAGCACTCGACGCCTAACCTCAATACTACTAACTCTATTATGCCACCTGACACCGGAGGTAGAATGCAGGCACCCATGGTCAAAGACAGCTAGCCTTTTAATGACCATGTCTCACAACCATAAAGAAGGAGACAGAATGAACTGGTGAGCAATACACATTATCTTTTGATCAATAGCCGGATTTCATGCCTACGCCAAAGATGATGTAGGTTGGAAGATAACACATGAACGTTTTGTATCCATGCTAAGATTACGTTAGCGACTAGTCCATTACAGCTAATGTAACTTCCCATATAAGTGAAGCAGTCAATACGCTCAATTACTTCATTCCCTATCTTTCAGCTAGGAATCGGTGTAGTCTATTCTTGCAGTATCATCTTACATTTGATACGAGGTAATCACATGTCAAATGTTCGAAGATTTCTGCTCATGGTGTCCACAAGACTCTGAATCCCGTGCAAACGGCTGAAGAGCTTAGTGCAAAAGATAATGAGCTAACACATTGTGTAAAGACTGAGGATATCATTCAGCTAGAGAGGTCAAAACATATGTGAAGTAATTCAGAATCATTGCTTGTAAACTGAATATCAATCGGAAAAATTTCCTGAAATATCAGGAAATTTAAGTAACAAAGATAACTGACTTTAAAATCGATTGTATGAGAGAGATGACTCACTTGCTTTCAGTAATCAACGTGTCAATATCCACAATCTTTCGTTCATCGCCACTTAAAATGTAATTCAGTTCATTGTTTAATCTGTCACACTTGTTACGATAGATGTCTCGCTCAGTTGCAATCTCTTGTTTTTCATCAAGGCACCTACTCAGTTCACGTTTGACTTCTGAAAGCTTTAAGTTCAATAAAAATATATATTCATTAATGTATTCTGTCAAGAGTAATTATTACTATGATAGGAGAAAAGTCATAAGAACATAGTCATAAACTAATGAATCACTAACACATAATTAGTCGTAATAAAATTACATTGTGTGAGTCGGTGAATCAGCGACAGAATACTCAGCAACCACGCACGTGTTACGGGGTTCGGTCCCTAAATAACGCATTCCTCTACATCGCTAAACTAATAGTAAAGTCGGTAAAGAGGGGGGGAGGGTTGAGCATGAGGCTAGCAACTCCACCCCGTGAAGAGATAACATCCCTGCTATTGAAACTTCAGAGCTTTAGCTTGAAGCCCTATGTTTCATTAGGAACGTAAAGAAATAAAATAAACCGAAATGAAAAAAATATCGCATTAAGTATTGTAAAAATTCATATCAGTAGGTAAGTAGACAGTCTGAAAACAATTGGAAACGAGAAATGTATGGTGGTTTCATCTCCCTCCTGTCTTCTTCCTCTTACCTACCTTGGTTTATTGATAAATATTATTACCCTTATACTTACTGGATATAAAGTAAAACTTAACCTTATCAGAGACTTTTAAAGATAAAGATATCAATATATATATATATATATATATATATATATACATATTCTGTGTGAAAATCTACATCCCAAAATACCATGAAATACTGTTGATTTAGTTTTTCCATAGACTATTAAGTAAATCCTAACATCATATTCTAAGTATATTAGAACCTTAAATGATAAAATTTCATCTCAAACATAGCTCCCATAGTCGACCAGTGGAGATGACTGATCATGTAAACTGCCGAATAACAAGAAAAATACCAATAATTGTTTAACATTAGGCAATGAAAGTGGAAATTGTTAAACATAAGAATAAGATGATTGATTCAAACTGATGTTCACTGCTAAAAAAGGTATTCCCTTTTTAATAATACATTAAAGTGATATACACTGCTTCAAACTCGATATAAATACAAGACTAATATATTGATACTACCTATTTGGAAGTTGACAGAGTATGGATTACGCCTAGCTGATTTCTTACTCAAGTCGACGTTTTTTTTATAAGAAAATAGACTACATAAGCGCACACGTTATCAGTATTTGAAGTATAAGATTGCTAATTTCACATAATATGGCTAAAGAATAACATCGCTTCGCTTTACTATGCTAACTGAAAATACGCCTACGAAAACTGACTTTCCAACATACAGCTTTACGTAACGGTATGGATCAACTCAATATTCTACATTTCAGAAAAGCACATATAAAAGTTGAGAAAAGAAATGGCAATAGAATTACAATGGATGAGAATGTACAAGAAATGAACATTTTAAGAGTCCGGATCGTAATAAGCAATGGATAAATATTCATTATCGTGAAAGATCGAATCATTTCACCAACGGTGTGTTACCCATGTCGTTTAAGATCTTAAGGACCTTAGCTAAATGGTCTTAACCTCTCAGCATGGCTCTAAGATTAGATGACTTTATTGTTCGGTATCAGGCTTTGGTCTGACCACCCCTGAATAATTTCTGACTTAATTCTAGTTCATTTAACGTTGCTCATCGAGGAGGGTGGTGGTTAGGCAGTACAAAAAGCCAGTACAAATCCGAAATACACTTGAAATATCAGTTATTTTTTTTTTTTTGCTCTAATCAAAAAGCTAATCTTATTCACCGAATTAGGACGCACTGATGGCTAGTCTACCATCAATATAGAAACAATGAATCCTAATGAGTAGTGAAGACCACGCTTCAGTATATTTTTAAGCATCCAGAGATTAATTTATCTACAAAATCCGATTCTTTAAAAGGTCTAAATCTAAATGATTCAGTAGTCATTCACACAATAAAAGGTGACAAGTTTAAGCCTGATTTACCTTCAGTCTACATTAACTATAAAAAAGTATTGAGATCAGTGCAACGGGATTTAGTTGTCCAAAATTTCACTTGATAATCATAAAACTTGACTGAAATAAGTAACAAGACAACTTTGTTTTTGTAACCATAAAAGTCAACTCCAACCTATTCATCTAGAATTTCCAGTAAAGCTACAAGCTACGTGTATGGAGATTAATTTTGCAAAAGTGTAGTTGCCAAAAATAGAGGTAAAGAAGTCAAGTACCTGGAAGGTAAGTTCCTCTAACTGTGTTACATAACTTTGACGATCATCTCCGCAAACTTTGGTATCTGCTTTTGAACGATTCTCTAATGAACGGTCTCTCAGCTGTTTTCTCAGTACTTTAATATCGCCTTGGAGCTCCCCAATTTTTCGTTTAGAGTTCATCAGTTCATGTTCTAATCCTTTGTTAGCTTCTCGACTTTCGACTAATAACGATGCCAGCTATAAAGGAAAGTTTAGAAAGATACATTTACAAACCTGTTTGGTCGATAAATGCATCATGTCATGATTAGAATACTCATCATTATCGCACTCCATGACAGTTCGTTTAAGTATCTGATACCGGTTCATTACCTAAATGCAAGTAGAGACATATTAATGAATTACCTGCTCAGCCATTTTTTTAAACTCGTTTTTTTCTTTTTTGCATTTTTCTAGTGATGCGTTTAAAATAGAAACGGCTTGTGTTTTTGCATCCAACTGCTGAACAGTTGCTGTCAGCTGTAAGGCGAGGTATCATGATGAAATATTAATAACACTTACATCAGTTTTCAAATTTTCTAACTCTAAATGCAATCGTTCTTCTAACTAGAAAGTGTGTATTAATAACCAAATCAAAAGTGCAACAAACCATTTGCTTGGTAAAGATGATGATCCAACCGAAACAGCTGTATACATCTGAAATAGGGCAAAATTGCAATTTTAGAATAATACCAACAAATATATTATAATAAATATATAACACGCATGATATTACAATACAAGAAGTGAACCAAGTATTGTCTGTTCATGAAGCTAAATACTTCTATTACCTGTTGGAGGAAAGCAAATGAAGAAATGTAGAATGCTTTCATGTGGAACTTTGACATTCAAAAAGTTAATGGCACTGATTGGATTCAACAACAAAGTAAACAAATTCACCATTTAGGTTTTACTGCTCTGTACGTGGACATCCCTAATTTCACTTTCTCCAAGCTTTCTCACTACACATAAGTTTTCATTTGACTCTTACCGTGGTATAAAGTTAATTTGAATTAACATGAAGCCAGATAGTGTACTATTCATATTAATTTGCTTATTAATGATATCAGAGTGAAACAGTATTATTTAGTGGGTGACGTTTCAAACACAATTATTCACACAAATATCATGTCTACTGACTTGATTACGCACATTAAACTGTGCTTAAATAACCATCTAGTAAATATTACTGTTTCGCTACAGTATATTCTGGTTGCTCACACCATGTTAGTCGTGGGATATATCTATTCGGCAAATTAATATGGGATTATGTACTACCACTGTCCAAGTTTTACATGTATTAAAATATTTTACCTAATCGCATTATGCCTAAACATATAGAAATACTCCTAAGATTTATTGTGGTATTGTTTAATTTTATAATACAAGACATACAGTTTCCGAGGTTTCGACCTCACATTCGGCCGCGTTATACACTGGGGTCGTAACTAGAAAGTAGCTGTATGTTAGAGTCTCAATTTCATGCCTTAAGTACATCCTACACAGCCAAAACTTGTTAATGGATGTAATAACGGTGATCTAACTACACAGTTAATAACTACAATATAAACTTATCACTAATAATGAGAACTAAACTCTGTGATTGCATTCCGTCTATCTGTCTGATTTCAACATAGAACTTTACACAGATGTGCAGCAGTCCAATTCGCCACACCATGTAGCACACAAAGCAAGAAAAGAAAGTAAAAAGAAATGCAAAACATAGACAGCAAACAGGGATATAAAACAAAAAGAATAGTAATAACGAAGAACAATATAGTTTCATTGGATATTATAAGTCACAAGGAGTGGATGCATTTGCGCCAGCCATTGAGAACTATGATTTGAGCCATATCACCGATTGTCCTCAGCCATCGGTTTTTACCGTTCTGAGGACCCCAACCAGGAAGTGTACACCTTCCTATGTGAGTGGCTTAAAATAAATGTTGTGGATTTCATTGACTGGTGCAATGTTTTGGTTTGACTGCCGCTAGCTCTTTTCCAACCTCACCCTATATCAGCTAACATTGCAGGTCGAGGAAGGAGGTTGTATTGTGATTGCATTGCTCTTGCTTAACTATTCGAGACTCGGTTAGTTAGGGGTGGTTTCTCTGACTGGATGCCCTAACGCAAACACTTCCACTTCCAGGACTTGTGTTCGTATTTCAGTCTAGGAAAATTTTTGTGATAGACATAAAACTGGCATGGAAATCACTTGTAAGATAGGTTACAAATGGTGAAAACATGCTTTCTCAATGTGCGCTGCAATCAGGCATTTTTCCATTCATGTCAAATACAGAAACCTGGTCCTCAGTAATTGCTCATGTAGGTTAAAGCAGCACATACTGCACAGCTGTGGCCCATTGAAAAAGTGAATTATTTTCAAAATGTCAGTCAGTAATCATCTACATTTCTATGCAGTTGACAATGAGCAACACAAATGTGCAAGAGCTGATGGTCCCACCTAGCAGCCTATGCTACGACAGGTGGAGTAGGGGACGAACCCATATCTACCTTCCTATACGGAAAATCTTTTACCATGGTAGACTCCTTATTAAAACATACGAGTGTGTTTCGGATGTTAATTATTTATGCTTGGACTATGACTGACTTAATGGCTGATTACAACGTAGAACTTTGGATCGATTTGCAGCAGTTCGAGCTGCCACACTTCACTATGTATACAGAGCAAGAGAAAGTAAAAAGAAATGCAAAACAGAGACAGCACACAGATATGAGGGAAAAACAGCTGCAGCTGTATTAAGTGTTAGAGATTCTATTCTTCAGAATATACTGGGGAGGCGTTTCAGCGTATTATTTTCAAATTCTGACTACGCATAAATTTGCATAACACACGAGATACCCTGGTTTGTGTGAATCTGACATGGGATTATTGTCGCTTCTGGTTGTACAGCTATTCTGATAACAAAAGAAAAGCTGTCGGTGTGCCTAAACAGGTCCTTTGAACAGTCAGGAGCTCCTGGGCAGTTGTCTTAATATTAATCCATGTTCTCATGGTCCTGGTTGGGGTCCTCGGGACCGTAAAAGCCAATGTGTTTGGCATGCGATTCGCTCCCGCCAAATGCAGATGATGTTACAGGACTGGACTACACCGACGCCTAGTTTAAAAATAGGAAGCGAAGTGGTAGAGCACGTTGACCGCTTCACTTATTTGGGAAGTACCATCAGCCAGTGCCAACGGGTTGATCTCTGACGAAATCTCAGCACGAATACAGGGGGCTCGTTTCGCATTTGCCAGTTTACGCCGTCTGTGGTGTAGACGAGTTGTTCGACTATCGACCAAAGGGTGGGTGTACTGCTCATCAGTCCGCTCCGTCCTCCTTTATGGCCAACTGTGAGACCTGGCCACTGAGAGTGGAAGACATGAAAAGACTAGCTGTCTTTGATCATAGGTGCCTGCGCTCTATTTCCCGTGTAAAGTGGCATAATAAGGTGAGCAACATTGAAGTTAGGCGTCGAGTTCTAGGTAGACAGGGGAAATCAATCGACGAAGTCGTGAAGTTACAAAGACTGAGATGGTTGGGACATGTGTTACGTATGCCAAGCCATCGCCTCCCTCGACGAGCAATGTTAGCGGATATACGGTCAGGCTGGAAAAAAGCTAGCGGCGGTCTAACAAAAACTTGGCACCAGTCAATGAAATCCACAACAGTTGGTCTAAGCCACGTAGGGAGGTGTAGACTTCCAGGCTGGGGTCCTCGGGACGGTAAAAACCAATGGTTGGAAACAATTGGTGACATGGCTCAAAATCGTTCTTAATGGCTAGCGCAGATGCATCCACTCCTTGTGACTTATGATTTCCAATGAAACTGTTTTGTTTTTCTTTATTACTCCTCCTTTGTCTCACACCTCTGCTTACTGTCTCTATTATGCTTTTCTTGTACTTTCTTTTCTTGCTTCGTGTGCTAAATGGAGTGTGGCGACTTGAACTGCCGCACATTTGTGCAAAGTTCTATGTCGAAAATAGACAGACAGACAGACAAAAGCCAATGACTGGAGACAATTGGTGATATGGATCAAAGTATTCCCCAATGGCGCAGATCCATCCACTTCTTGTGACTCATAATATCCTATAAAAGCATACTACTTTTCCATGATCTGTACTGTCTAAAGGCCTTATTCACTAAGGGACGCGGATTAAAGTGGTCATATATTTAGAGAATTCAGGCTGACCCTACAAAATGAAATTTGTTAATCACCGTCGTCTTTTTATAATAAGATAATAATAGAGTAAAAAATATATGAAGATTGTAATATTTGGATTTAAAACAGTCAACAACTAACCATTTAAAACTGTAGCGTATCCCACAAACTTTGCGGGATACTTTCTTTATTGATTAAAATTATCCCGCATGCTCAAGGGCACTGGAAGAATTAGATACCTAAAAGCCATTTTTGTCGATGTCGCTCATCACTATTCGAATGCAGTTCCTTAACCGTCCGTTTGTACATTGGCTTTTACGCTCATCCTGCAGTTAATCACTTGTTATCTTGACTCGCATTGTTCACAAAGCTTGCGTATCACCTCATTGTTGTTTCTATTGCTGCTAAAACTAGTTATTTCGCTTGTTTCGAAAATTCTTGCGACCAGGTCAGTTAATTCATTTCCTTGTAGTTGTTTCACACGTTTCATTCATGAGTGATATTAGTGTTTTAGTTGTTTTTCAGCTGTTAATGATATAATACAGAGTGGAAGTTGCGGAAATTATACAAATGAACAAACTTGATTGGCAGTAGTTGTTGTTTCCAGTTGATTTCTTGATTTCCATTATCGTTGCTGGCTGAACTCCTTACTTAATATGTTGAAATCTGAAAAATTGTCAATCAAGCTCATGTTTAAAACCTCCACCAATCTACGAGTCAACCTGGTGAAGAGACCACGACCAGAGTTGATGTTAGCAATATCAACCACTGGGTGTGTGAATCCATCGACGAAAAACCCGTTGTTGGAGATATAGTTTCCTATGTCGGCCCTTCTTACTGTTTTAAAATCTGCAACCTCTTTTCTTCCGGCGTATGATGTAACAACTATTCTGAATAAGTTTAAATGCATTGTGAGCTCATTGTATAATACCGAAACCTCCAACGTGGACTGCGCAAAAGCGTTAAGAGGTGCAGTGGGGACAGCGCACACACTTTGCAATATATTTTGTGCAATCCATCTTTATCGTGCAATGCGTAAGTAGGTAAGTGTTGTGAATTTCGAGGATTGTTTTAGACGAGAAATAAACTCGTTAGGCAGTACATATCTAGTATGATTTACGAAGGATTAATTAAAGGGTAAACTTTAGAACTGATCCCAGATTTATTTACAGATTTTACAAGTACATCAGTACCATCTTTGTCTTCGTTTTGGAAGTACATACACAATTAGTGGCTACCTTCGAAGAAATTATGGGCAGCAGCATTCAACCGTAGTGTTTTGTCACATGACAATAACGCTAACAGATGTGTCGAATGTTTGCATAGGTCGATGAAATGGAATTTTTCAAGAGGTAATACTCTACACAAATGTATGTGGAGGTGAACTGGTAGAGTGACCGAAGGTTGCAACGGAAGAAAGGTGAACGAGATGCCCAGATAAGAACGGTGGGCAACAGGACACCTACTTTGCAGTCTTTACTGTCTAAATTAACAGAATATGCCGGAAGAAATGTGGTTGCAGATTTTAAAAGAATAAGAAGGGCCTGCATAGGGAACCATATTTCTAACAACTTGTTTTTCGTTGACGGTATCACACATCCAGTGGTTGTTATGGCGAAGTGAACTTTCACTTGGATTTTTCTCCACCTGCATTTGTCCTTGTCGTTGTATGATGATTGCTCATGTGACTCATCACCATTCAGAATTTAATTGAGATGTATAGTAAACATTCAATACAGTTGATTTGTGCTATTATTAACCCACTACTCATGAAAACTGCTGCACCGGTGACTCAAAACCCTGACTTTGAATACTACCAATATTTGAGGTGGCAGTTTTGTAAATCTCTCGACTGAAAAATAAACGCAGGTTATGTGAAATACGCACCTGCCTTTTCGTTGTCTTGATTTAACCAGTGGAAGGAATGAAAGAAGAAAAAGTAAAACTTCACTGAGAACACGTAGTGGCCCTCCTTAGGACCACCACACACTTGTTTTTATTTCCCTGTTCTAGTAGCATTCTCTTGTCAAAAAGTATTCTTCGCACGAAAATAGGCTGCATTGATACCCTGAGGCGTGAAACCTTCATTGAACGATAATATGCCGAAAAGTGAGGTTTCAACATAATCTCTTTCTACAAATCGGATCCGTTACTTCGGGAAAAGGATTGGTTCTAAGGGCCGCGTCACACAGGCCGAGATACGTGTTGGCGCAGTTGGAGGCTAGTTTCTTTGCTGCTTTTTGTGCTTCGGTGCGCATTTTTGTGGAGCTACTGGGCTCTGACCACGATCGATCGTGGTTGGTTTTAGCTGTAAGTGTTACGTTGCTAGCAATGCGCCTGGACTCGCTCTGCATTGCGTCAAGCGGCTGTGCTTCCATTGTTTGGCGTGCGACGGCGAACTTAGAACTGACACGGACCAGGGAAATCCTATTGTCTAATTAAATCAAACCATTGCGATGTCCGCTGGCGGGTTATGACGCAGTGTGACTTCTGCCCAGTGCTCTGAATGTCAAAGTGAAGAAATTCAACCAAGCACGGGTGAATGGCGGGAGTAACCATGAATAACCACTACTGCATGGGTTAATCCTTATCATTTGTGCGATCGGGTATTATCGTAGCAAATAACAATTGTGGCGGCGGGTTCCAGTTCTGCTAGTATAGTGGCACTGACATGCGGCTATGACTGGTGTCACGAATACTAGAGGAATCAGGGCCTGTCGTTCGCCTAAATGATCCGCAGCTTTTGAAATATAAATAAAAGTCGTGGATTAGGGTCCTACGAACGGCCCACGACACTGTCCGTTACTGGCAGGCCCTAGTTGCTCGAGAAGGTTAAATATACGCCCTTTCCAGCTTTGGAACGTCGTGTTAAAGTTGAGGGATGTTGAGTAGACCCAGACTCTGCCGAGGTAAAGTATGCTTCCTGGAAATTATGGGATGTCAGATGAAAACACCTATCCCGAAAGATGGTTCTGAGCTTTACGCCCAAAATACATGTTAAGGTAGACCATTTGTGTAGATGATATTATCCTCCGACTACCCCATCTTGTTCATTATAGCAATATTTTGACACGGTCCACCTGAAACACTAATCATTGAAACAAAAATGCTAAGAGTATGCCACAATCACATTACATGACGCAGACACTAAAATGACTATTCAAGAATTGAGAATTCCTATCAAACCAGAAAACATATCACATAATTTTATTAAAATTCATTCATAAAATAGATTTATCGAGCGGTAATTCAACCGGCGTGACGGATAAGTTCAGATCACTTATTCAAACATCAAATATAGCTTTTAAGAGCTAGTGCGAACCAGAATCACTTCCTTGTGCTCGCATCTTGGATGCAAGTTGAAGTTTCCTGGTGGTTGGTAGACTTTTGTGCCCTCCATCTTGAATTCGAGTTTCGTAGCATTGGCCGACTAAATGCTAGAGAGATAACTGGTTCTAGTATTGAACACATCCATGATCTCATCACACTATTTTCTGGTTTTTAGTGGACCACCAACTTAAGTCAGATCGTAATCCAACTCAAAATCACTCGAATTCATGTTAACCATTATTGTCAAACTCCCGGCTATCGTTAAGTTGGTAAATCGTTCACAACCAGGACACTTCAATATCCAATATCGTCTCTAAGAGCTAGTATAAAACAATTTGATTTCTTTGTGCTCGCCTCTTGATTTCGTGGCACAGTGGTTAGGGTTCTCGCCGACCATGCACATGGTCCGAGGTTCGACCCCCTGCCGATGCACACCTGATATCAATGGTTGGCCCGAAAAATTTGGACTACCGATATCGCATGCTGAAAATTACACACTACTACCAAAGGTACCGCCTGGAATCAAGCTGTAATAAAAAGATATAAAATAATTTTGAGGTATACGCTCCTGATCTCCGGGAAATTTCGGCGTAATTCGTCCCACCACTCAATTGTCGTAGCTTTGGTTGACTCTAGAAAGATTGATGCTAGGATTAATTATATATTGTTTGTAGTATGCGGTGTGTTAAGACTTTGTTACTGCTGTGAATGGAATTGATCCTTTCGTCGGTTAGTCCTCCTGTATCGTCGTCAAAAGAAAAGAGATAACAATGAGAGATATTATTAGTGCAGATTACTCAGACTAAGAGAGAAAATGAAATAAAGAAAACGTAAAATAGACAGCTGATCAAATTTCAAGTTGATATGTATATACATATATGTAAACATATATAATATCAGCAATAATAGTAAGTGTAAGTGTAGTAGTTGGAGTTATCAAGAGTTAGACGGGGAAGAATGTAAAGAAGCAAAACGACAAATTCAGCCGTCCTGAATGGTGTATAGGATTCTAAGGAGATAGGCCGTTCGGACGCAGGCCTTTGCTCGAAAGTGTCCACAGATGGTGCCATAGCTACATCTGCCAGTACGGATTTCCGGGGATGACAAATCCTCAGTGAAAAGAAGTGAAAGCGCATTTAATTCCTTGCTTTCTGGTGAGCTATCCTTCTAGGGCTTCCACGAGGAAGCCTTTACATACCCAAAGGCAGTAAACCTTTGTCTTGATAATTCTGGTCATTTGTTATTGTAAGCGCAATATCGCTTGAAATTAAGTCACGCGCAGATAAAGGCTATCCCGGTCCAGAACAAACAAGAAGCCGGTCACTGTTTCTACGGTACTATTAATAAACAAATCAATAATTATATATACAACAAACCTTAACGGTTTCAAGAGTACAAAGCACAACGCTTAACAGAAAGCAAGGTACCGCTATCAGAGCGGAATAACGTTAAAGCCAAAATTGCGAACTAGCCGGAACCAGACACGACCGTTCAGGTAAGCAGTCAGTAGAAGAATGAACCCAAGTAAGGCATGGCATAAAACAGAGAGCGTTTAAGAGAAATAGACCGAGCATAGGCACAAAGATAGAATTTAATTGGCTACTTAACCAGGTAGGAAAATACAGATGAAAATCAATAAATAAGATAAACTCGACAGAATAGTACAAAGTTAGACATGGGTCAGCAAAAATAACAGTTCACAAAATACTCTGATTGGGCCATGAGTTCAACTGTCTGACTAAACGGATCGAGGTAAAAACACATACACACAGTTCATTAAACAAGCAGGGATAGACACGTTAGGCATGGATAATTGGGTTGCAACAACTCTAGGCTGATTCGGGACAGGTTGACTTGATTCAAGGATGGGAATAGAATTGATCTTACAGTTATCTTGTAAATAATTCTCTAGATTCATAC